AATCCCATGATTCTAAGAATTCATCAGGTGGAGTAAGTGAATGAAGGGGATTTAGGTGTAGGAAAATGGGAACCAGTGGGGACTTGAGAGCAATGTCTTCTCTATAGGCTTCCAAATACAATTAAAAACAAAAACCAGGGGCACCTGGGTGGCTCAGTCGTTAAGCGTCTGTCTTCAGCTCAAGTCATGATCCCAGGGTTCTGGGATCGAGCCCCGCATCGGGCTCCCTGCTCAGCTGGAAGCCTACTTCTCCCTCTCCCACTACCCCCTGCTTGTGTTCCCTCTCTCATTGTGTTTCTCTCTGTCAAATAAATAAATAAAATCTTAAAAAAAAAAAAAAAGACAAAAACCAAACTCTGTATAGTAATCCCATTGGCTGTGTCTGGTCTGGGAGTGGCCAGCTATGACCCCTAATCTTACCTAATCCGTTTTTTTTCCAAGTGAGCAAACAGTTACCAAAAGTCATGAAGCAAGTGTGTAAGATAATGAAAGGTGTAAATGTGTGCATATGTATCAAAACACGCCATTTTTAATGAAAGAAATTAATATCACACATTTGTACTTCTGTACAATTTTGGGTAATATATAATTTTAAGCTGTTTACAAATAACATGTAATGCTTCAAATATTACATAATGTTGATAATACATTTCTAGCAGAAATAAATATATTGCACTTAAAAAGAACTTCATTAGATGTTACTTCATAGTATTAGGCTTATAACTTCTTTTTCATAAAACATTTCCCATGCCCTTCCCCCCACCCCCAACACACACACTTCATTACAGTGACTGTTCTCACGCAATTCATTAAGCAAATGAACACAGCAAACAATAGAACTGTGATAGAGTCTACTAAAGAGGCTATATCCAATTTTATCCTTTAGGAAATAAAAGACATTCTTTTAGGTTTCTGAAAGTAAGGAAAAAACAATACATATTTTAATGTATCAGAAGTAAAATACAACAAATTGTATTTTTTGTCTAGATGTATTATTTTACCAATGTTTTTATTTTCTTATTATTAGGGGAGGGGATTAGAATTGAGGGAGGGACAGAGAAAGAAGGGCCAGAAAATACTTATGGATTATTTGCCTATCAAATATTTATAAATGAAACTTTGCATATTTAAGCATGCTGAAGAAAGATAAATATTAGAATATTTTATAATTGGCATGGAATATTAGTGAAGAAATTATTTTATGGTTTTCTAAAGGTTTAAAAATTTTTAACCTTTCTTTTGTTTACATAAAATGCTTGCATTCTGAAATAATATAAAAACATGTAAGATCCATTCCTCCAACCAAGCTGTCTAAAGGAGCCAGCTGAAAATCTTTTCTGTCCAGTGCTTTCTTTCTTGTCTAGACTAGGGTATAATATTGTTTTGTTTGTAATAATTATCAATTCCATACATGTTTAATAATGTAAATAGTTTCCTTACTCAATGGAAGACTGAGTTAAAATATTGTTTGTCTTATAATATGTGACCCTGCACATTACATAACTGAGTTTTTTGAACTTTAGTTGCTGAGTCATGGCTAAGCTAGACTGCATATTTAATGGGGTGATAAAGTCATTCTATCCATTTTATCTGAAGCTCATTTTTCTCAATATAATTCAGCTTAAATATTAGCAAGACAGCCTGAAAAGCCATGAAATTTAGAAATGGGTTAAATATCCTAACATCTCTCTGAAAAATTCATAGGCAGTATGGGAATGGGGAATCCCTTTCTTCTAAAAATACTTTTTTAAGAAGGGCATGTATTGCAAGGAGCACTGGGTGTTACACACAAACAGTGAATCATGGAACACTACATTAAAAACTAATGAAGTACTGTATGGTGACTGACATAATAAAAAAATAAATAAAAAGTAAAAATACTTTTTTCTTGGGCTTTTGGAGGGCGTCCTTTTTCTTTTTTTGCATGGGGGGCTGGGGATGTTGTGGCTGGAAAAGTGTTGTAACAGAGATGTGGATGAGAGTGAGGAAGGGAAGATCTTGGAATACCCCAGAAGTTAATGTAACTCCTATAGTAGAGCTCTACACAGGGCTTTTCTTAGTATCTTTTTAATACCTCCCATTCTGTGCCCATCTACTAGGAAGAACAACAAACCTTTGTTATAAACTCAAAAGGACCAGCAGTGCAACCTAAATTCATTAATATAGAACTTGTAACCTAATAATTGGTGATATATTAGACACAAGATGGATATACTTTACCTATATAATATTGCTAAGAGTGGACAGAGGAGGGGGAAGACTTGAAAAAGAAGCAAAAGAAATAACTGAACTTACTCAGTATTATTGATAAATGTTTTAAAAACAAATCAGGTCTGCAGAACCTACTAAGATATGAATTAATCCCTCAGGTTAGATAAAGCAGTTCTGAAAGGGCCTCTTTTTAGCAGCACTGCACATCAGCCATGTATTTTGATACTGTAATATACCTTGTGGGGGGAAACACTGAATTTATTCCAAATACACTGTAACTCATGCTCCTAATTATTCAATTGGCTTTTCCACTATCTAGTTCTAATAATTACTTTTGGTAGGATAGACTTTAGACTTTACAATCTTAAATGCCCAAAGAGTTAAGAAAGAATCAACAACCAGAATAGCTCAGAAAGACCCAGGTTGGAGTAAATTTCTACCCTTGGTTCTCATGGCTAGGGTGACTTTGATCAAGTTAAGCTCCATGTACCCTGTGCTTTTTATTTCTGGTTAAAATAATGCCAAATACTTTAAGAATATATCCAATTTAGAATTTCAGGTGTTATTCCTGAAGAGCATGCTTTGGTATCTTAGTCTTTGCTTTCCTTGAAGCACTCTACTTATTTTTAGCCTTATTCTGCTTAATTACAAAATCAAATTATGAAGTCAGGAAATACTGGTGTAAAACCATATTTAACAAAAACATAAAACACCTACTTTAAGACACGTCAACTGGGAAAAATGTCTAAATAGTATTAAAATGATCCTTTCATTCTCATCAAAAAGAAAATTCAGATACAGATTCACTTTAGTAGACCAGTAATTTACCAGAGTATCAAGTAGCATCATGTTAAATAGCATCTAGTTTTGTTACTCCTGCCGTAAGCAGCAGTACTGTGTATTAAAAAGAGTACTGGCAACAGGCCAACTATTATCAAATCCCTATCCTAAGCTCTATGGATACTTAAACACTAGTCATAGCTGCTTTTTTAAAGAAACGCATTATTTATGCTGTGTTTGAAAACAAACTACCTGTGGATACTATAGCATAACATGCAAGAAGTTAGAAATTAGCCTGCGGTGTCTGCCGTAGGACTCTGAGATGCTTGGTTGGCACAGCCCATGCTTCTCCATAAGTGAACTGTGGGCCACAGTGGAGAAAAACAATTGCAAAGTCCAGCAACAATGGCATCACATAGACAGGCTCTGCCATTATGCCACGTCTCCTAGACTAGAAATGCCCCAGAGAAGCATTTGGTATGGGAAAGCCTAATAGAACAACCAAATAAAATTCCATGCAGTCTGATGTGATCAGTATATTGCATTTACTCCCATCTCTACTCTCAGCAGTGATATTTCCCATCTCTTTTAACAGATTCAGTACTTTTACAGTCAGAACAAAGTAGATACAAAATCTAAATTAGGTTAAAATAGAGTTTTGGGGAACACTGTAAAGAAGACAGGTTGTATCTCATAGCAATCTAAAGTTGAAGGACTGTAAACTTTACTCAATTTCTGTTGTTAGGGAAACAAACTGTTGCAAAATGCCAAATATACTCCCCTGACTGTAAATGCTTAGATATATGTTGCCCCCCAAATATAATGATTATAGATAGCTAAAATATAACTAATTACTAAACACTAAAGGAAGGCTTAAGAAGACATTAAGAATGCAAAATAAAGAGGATAAATGCTTTACATTGATTTACAAGCACTGCCAGTGTTTTAGTCAGGGGGTCATTGAATTGACATATGATTTCATATAATGGACTAGAAAAATGGTAAAGGAGTCACTGAATGGAGCAGTAAGAAAGAAGGACAAACCAAATATATGGACACACAACTTGTAAGCATAGGTTAAATGGTGGCTATATGGGCATACAGAATGGTCATTCACAAATCCTTGTCAATCAGTGGTTAACAGCTAATCTAATAACAAAGCAGATTTACCAAAAATGAGAATTTGGCCCAGTCCATTTTACCATCCAAAAGATCTCCCAAAGCTGAAAAATGAAGGGGCCTTTGGTACCCATGGCAGAGAAATTCCCTTCAGAACCGGGCAACCGTCCTGTTATTGCAGACTGAGAGAAAGTCTCACGTGTCATCGCACAGAGGCTTTAGAAGTGTTCCTCAATGAGTAAGTCAGTAGTGCACTTAGAACGCAGCCCAGAAAAATAAAACCTCAGTTTTACAATGTAACACATAGAGCCTCTTGCTTCAAAATTGTGTATAGAAGGTTTTTCCTACATAAATGGCAAGTAATTGCAAGAAAGAGAATTAGGAAGAAAGAAGCCAAGACTGGGAAAAAGAGCTTGTCAGGTACTGGCCCTTCAGTATGACAAAAAGAACTTTGTGAAGTCATTACCGCCTATTCATCCACAAAATAGGATGCTTCAGCATTATCTCGGCCCCTTCCCAAGCAAACTAATACAAAGGAAAACTAAACATGCTTAAGCTACAACACTACAAATATTTCTCTACTGGCTCTCATTTTCTACAGGGAGAAATGGACTTAAGTTAGTCATTATGCATTACAGTTGGTATGTTATATATATTGCCTCTTTGAAGATTCTTTTGACCTGTGGAAAGCAGAAAGAAAACCTCTACACATTGATTTTATACATTACTGCATTGACATAGCATTTTTAACTGCTAGGTATAATGCACCTTAAAATTCATCTGACCTGTGTTATGAAATTTCCTGGGTAAGTTAGTATACTATTGGTTGCAGGATTTAGGCTGGCTAAGTCTATACTGATTCTCTCTCGAACCCAACAGCTGTCCCCGAACTACACATGACTCCCGGTCTGTGGTGCACTCCCTCAGCGGTAGGTTTTATTGTGAGTCCAGCTCTCCTCTTTAATAAGTCCCATGTCTCCTGGAGAGCTCCTGCTCTAACACCCCACATCCCACCCACCCAACCCTGTCCCATATTTCCATACCCATTTGCACATTCTGGATCTGGATTCTCCAAGGTTTAGAAGAGTCATACAAACGGTGTCATCACCGCAGAGGAATGGCGCAGTCCTTGGATAGCAGCATAGGGCCCCTGCTGAAAGTAGTGATGGTACCGGGGCATGTGGAATGAGGGGAATGTCGGGCCACTCCCCTGCATCGAGCTGGCAATAGCTGATGGTGTCAGAGGCATCCCAAGTCGGCTGTACGGTGGCAATGAACCTTGTATAGGGTGAGGAATGGGTGTTGCTATGGATGCTGTGCTGGTGCCAAGTGCAGTAAGGGACTGGGGGTGCTGAAATCCAGGAAAACTGGATGAAGATGATACCCAGGAGCTGAGAGACAAATTATCAGACGTTGTAAAGGCTGACCCTGAAAGGAAAAACAACTCATTAGACTAGAAACTCTGTTTCAGTGTGCAAATCAAGAATTACATTATCTGTAAGGATTGATTGATTTTTTAAAAAATATAATAGATCTGCAATTTAAAAAGACAAGCATGTCAACCATAAGTCACAGCTACCTTTCCAGGTAAGATATCATTTCTACCATATATGGAAGAGAGAATTTACTAAACAGAAAAAGACTTAACTCATTAGATGGCCTACATGCTCCCAGAGAATGGCCAAAACACTAGAACCCTGCCTGGAAGTAATAACTGGATTCCCTTTAAAGGAGCTCCAAATAGCTGGTATCTGTCCTGACCTCTACAACATCCTTATAAGGAAGGCTGGACATATGAGCCTCAACAAAGTTACTGGGTTTCTAAAGGCATTGTGAAAACCCACAAGCATGTTTTTCTTTTTCTAGATTCCATAATTCCTTATTAAATATTTGACAAGTTACAAGAGTAAGTTTTTCTTATATCACAGCATCTACAAGTTTAAACAAAAGTTGACACTGAATTTTCCAACTGTATAATTAATTACCAGTAGTCCATTTGGATTTAGTTCGAAGAGATGTCCTATATTTTGACAGATTATGCTATTCCATATAAGAGACATAAAATTATGACAGAGGGCTCTCTCCCCACACAAATATCCCTGTGCCCAGGTTTAGGCACCCTCTAGACTCCCAAGTGCAAAGTGCTCCTCTGTGAGTCTTTGGGACAGAGGAATTTTTCAGAACCCCCCTACTGTCACCGCTGGGGCCACTGCCTGTACGTAATGCCCTTCACTGAGAAAATCTTCTTTTAAAAAGTGTTTTCCAGGGCGCCTGGGTGGCTAAATAGGTTAAGCATCTGCCTTCGGCTCAGGACATGATCACAGAGTCCTGGTTTGAGCCCCATGTTGGGCTCCCTGCTCAGTGGAGAGTTTGCTTCTCCCTCTCCCTCTGTCCCTCCCCGACCCCACCCCACCCCACCCCCGCTCATGCACGTGTGCACTCTCTCAGATAAAATCTTTTAAAAAGTAAAGTCATTTTAGTCATCGATCCTAGTAAGATATTTCTAGAATATCTTATAAGAGGAACAGATATGGTCCCCGATTTTCAGATTATAAAATTAGGGTTCAGAAAGACTAAAGGACTGCCCCCAGAGTCCAACAGGTCTTTGGTGGTAGATCACAGACAAGTAACTCCTGAGCCCTGACTCAGAGGCTTGATGTCCTTACACTAGAAAACCACAGGAAACCATCAGGCAGAATAATCACTTAAGACTCAGAAGCAAAATAATGAACTGTATGAAAATCAGCCTCAGGGGCTATCCTTTCCTCAAGAGACTCCTGAAATACTCTGGGGGCAGAGTGCACCCTGAGGACTACAAGTTTCATCACCTACCTTTCTTTCTCGTTCTGGGTGCTCTTGCTCCCAGCAGTTACGTAGCCCGGAAGCTGTCTTACCTCGATTCTGTGTTGTCTGAACCTCATCCCCCAGCACATCCTCTTCTCCTCCATAGGTACGGATGGGTGAGCGGGCATAGGAATGCTTCTGGATCAGGCTCTCCACACTTTCCCTAGGTTAGAGAAGGACACATCCTGAATAAACTAAAAAGTACTTGGAGATGGAGATGGGTCTGAAGGATAATTACTCAGTAAAACCATTTTCTCAGCCAAAAGACCCCCACTCCAGGGAAAGATGACATTCAAAACATGTATATTTATGCCACTATAGACCCCTCAGAAACATGACCTCAGGCATGCAAATACAAGCAAACATAACTGGATAGGATAGGGACAATCCCCGGAAATCCTACAACATGGAGGACAAAGAGGTGAACAAGGAGCTGGGAAACCAGACTATAGGAATGTAGAATTTAATGATTTGAAAAATGAGTGAGTGAAAATCCTGAGGAGCTGCAATGACTCTTCTGACTTCATCAGCTAATGAATATAGAACAAATACTTGACTGATACGAACTGCCCTTACTCAACATCTGATGAAATGCTGGCCAGAAGTTCAGAATATCATTAGTCATAAAAAGACTCAACGTTCACTAGTAAACCTAGTAAGTGCACAGAGTATATGACAATCTGGGTAGTTTGGATAATGTACACTTTGAGATTCCTGTTGCATTAAGACTGAAAATTACAGAAAACCTGTAAAGGATACATAAAATGGCCATTAGGAAATTGAGGCCCCCATATAAATTGGTTCCTTGACTTTGAAGGTAGTCTTCCTGTTGAAACATACTCTGACAACTAAAGAATGCAGTTCACTTTAAAAAACAAGAATTACTGGGGTGCCTGGGTGGCTTAGTCACTGAGTGCCTTTGGCTCAGGTCATGATCTCAGGGTCCTGGGATCGAGCCCCTATCAGGCTCCCTGCTCCGTGGGAAGCCTGCTTCTCCCTCTCCCACTCCCCCTGCTTGTGTTCCCTCTCTCGCTGTCTCTCTCTCTGTCAAAAAATAAAAAAAAGAACTATTTTGCTATTGGCCCATTTGACCAGCTGCTGTTTAAAAAAAAAAAAAAAAAGGCCAGCAAGAGTTTAGCCAAAGAATTCTTTGCCAAAAATGCAAGTTGATAGCAGGTTGGTTTACACAGTATACATCTCTAGAATAACTGTGGCCTAATGATTAACACTGAATTAACCATCAAAGGATAAAAAAATAAGTAATTTAAAAAACTGTGTGTTGAAGAACAAATCAAACACCAAATTTCACATTGAAGGGACAAGGAAAGCAAAATGTCATAATAGCTTTTCAAAATGTAACACTTGTCAACATTTCACATAGATATATAGACTTTACTGGTGAAAAAAATACTAACTCATAGTGAATCTGGCCTTCTAGAAAACTTGTATACTCACAGAAATGAAAGCATTTTGTCATATTATGTAGCTTGCAAGTGAGGACTTAAGGGTAAACTTCAAAGAAAAATTAATTATAACAACAATTCAAGTTACATCTCCATTCCAAGAGTTTTAAAATAAGCATACAGTACCAACTTCATGTAGTCAAAATGATCAAGATCCATATCCAAAAGATTAACATACAGCTAGATTAAAAAGTGAAACCATTCCATACTCACTGATATGGAAAGAACTCTAAGATATAGTAAGTGAAAAAAGTACAGAAGATATATATAGGTATAAAGTGCTACCATTTGTGGATTTCAAACAAGGAATATATATGTTTGTATATGCATAATATTTCTGGAATGTTCCAGTTTCATAACAGGAAACTGCCTAGAATAGGTCATCTCTGTACGGTGGAACCAGGGATTTAAGGGACTGGAGCAATGATTCCCAACTTTGTCTTGACTCTCAAATTTGTCCCAAATCCACTTGAGTCGCCTGGGGCTCTTAACAAAGAAAAACTAAATTGAGGTATAATTAATATACAACAAATAGTACATATTTAAAGTGTACAATTTGACCAGTTTGGGCTTATGTGACAAGTGACACCACCACAAGTGAGATAAGAAACATACCTGACAAAGGTTTCCTCATGCTTCCTGGTCCCCACACCAACAAGTCTGACCAAGGAAATCACTAATATGATTTCTGTTCCTACAGATCAGTTTGCATTTTTTAAAACTGTACAAAAATGAAATCATATCTTATGTTTTTCTCTCATGTTTTCTTTTCTAATCTGGCTTCTTTCCACTCAGCATAATTACTTTGAGATCCATCATGTTGGAGCATATATCAAATAGTTAAATCTTACTCTGAGTAGCATTGTTGTCCAAATGATAGTATGTACTATATGTACTATAGTTTATCTATTCACCTGTTGATCAACATTTGCCTTGTTTCTAATTTCTGTTACACCAGAAGCTGCTACCCATATTCAGGTATACTTTTTTTTTAAATGGACATATGCTTTCATATCTCTTGTTTTCTTTGCAGAAAGGTTTTAGTTACAAATTCAAAACTATCATCAGGGGTGTCTGGGTGGTTCAGTTGGTTAAGCGACTGCCTTCGGCTCAGGTCATGATCCTGGAGTCCTGGGATCGAGTCCCACATCGGGCTCCCTGCTCAGTAGGGGGTCTGCTTCTCCCTCTGACCCTCTTCCCTCTCATGCTCTCTCTCTCTCTCAAATAAATAAAATCTTAAAAAAAAAAAAAACTATCATCAGATTGTTTCTTCTTGAGTGGGTTTTGGTAGTTTGTGTCTGTCTTCAAGGAATTTGTCCATTTCATCTAAATTGTTGAAATTATAAGCTAAGCATTCATAATATTGCTTTATTATCCTTCCTTTCAGTATCTGTAGAATCTGTAGTGATATTACTCCTCTTATTTCTGACTATGGTAATTTGTGTCTTGTCCCCTTTTTTCCCAATCAGTTTGGGTAGGGGATTGTCAATCTTATTAATCTTCTTTGCTTTTGGTCCCACTGATTTTCTCTATTATTTTCCTGTTTTCTATTCCACTTATTTCCATTCTGATGTTTATTATTTCCTTTCTTCCACTTACTTTGGGTTCAGTTTGTTCTTGAGATGAAGCTGAAGTCATTGATTTGAGATCTTTGTTCACTTCTAAAGTAGGAATGTAGGGGTGCCTAGCTGGCTCAGTCACAGTTAAGCATCTGACTCTTGATTTCAGATCAGGTCACGATCTCAGTGTTGTGGGATCAAGTCCTGCATTGGGCTCCACACTCAGTGGGGAGTCTGCTTAATATTCTCCCTCTCCCTCTGCCCCTCCCCCTGCTCACTCTCTCTCGCAAATAAATAAATCTTTAAAAAAAATAAAAATAAAGTGGGAATGTAGCCTATAAATTTCCTCTATGTTTTAGCAGCATCCTATAAGTTTTAAGTTTTTATGGGCTATATTTTCAATTTCATTCAGTTCAAGATATTTTCTAATTTCCTTTTTGATATCTCCCAGGACCCTTGGGTTATTCAGACATGTTATTTATTTTCCAAATGTTTGGGAATTTTCCAGTTATCTTCCTGTTACTACTGCTTTCCAACATAATTCCATTATGGTCAGAGAACATACTTTGTATGACTTGAACGCCTTTAAATTTATTGGGACCTGTTTTTTGGCACAGGGTATGGTCTATCTTAGTAAATGTTCTGTGTGCACTTGAGAAGAAAGTATATTCTGCTGATGTAGGACAGAGCATTTTATAAATGTCAATTGGGTGAAGTTGGTTAACAGAGTTGCTTAAATCTTCTATATCTTTACTCATCTTCTGTCTACTTGTTCTATCAGTTTTTAAGAGAGGAATAGTGAAATCTCCAACAATAATTGTTTATTTTCCTATTTCTCCTTACAGTTCTGTCAGTTTTGCTTCATGCACTGTACTCTGAAGGTCTATTAGGCACATAAATATGTAGGACTGTAAGTTCTCCTGATGAATTAAACCCTTTATGGGCATACCTCAGAGACATTGTGGATTCAGTTCCAGGCCACCAAAATAACATGAATAGTGCAATAAAGTAAGTCAAATGAATTTTTTGGTTTCCTGGTACATATAAAAGTTATGTTTACACTACACTGTAGTCTATTAAGTGTACAATAGTATTATGTCTAAAGAAAACAATGTATATACCTTAGTTAAAAAATACTTCATCATTAAAAAATGCTAACCCCATCTGAGCTTTCAGCAAGTGGTAATCTTTTTGCTGGTAGAGGGTCTTGCCTCGGTGATGGCTGCTGACTGATCAGGGTGGTGGTGCTGAAGGCTGGGATGACTGACAATTTCTTAAAATAAGACAACAATGAAGTTTGCCACATAGATTGACTCTTCCTTTCACAAATGATTTCTCTGGGGCATGTGATGCTATTTGATAGCATTTTACCCACAGTAGAACTTATTTCAAAATTGGAATCAATACTCTCAAACCGTGACTGCTGCTTTATCAAGTAAGTTGATGGAATATTCTAAATCCTTTGTTGTCATTTCAACAATCTTCACAGCATCTTCACCAGGAGTAGATTCCACCTCAAGAAACCACTTTCTTTGATCATCCATAAGTAGCACCTCCTCATCCATTCAAGTTTTATCATGAGCTCACAGCAATTCAATCACATCTTCAGGCTCCACTTCTAATACTAGTTCTCTTGCAATTTCTGCCACATCTGCAGTTACTTCCTCCACTGAAGTCTTGAATCTTCAATTTGTAAAAAATGCAGTAACTACAAATCACAAGAAAGTGATGTGCAATATAATGCAGTATGCCTGCATCAGTATGAAATGATCTACTTTATCCATGGTAAGTTCTTTGCTCGGAAATCTGTGATATTAATATAGCTATTCCAGTTTTTCTTTTGACTAGTGTAAATATGGTATATTTTTTCCATTGCTTTACTTTGAACCTGCTGCCTTTAGATATAAAGTGCATTTCTTATAAGGCAGCACATATTTGGACTGTGCTTTTTAATCCAAACTGACAATCTCTCCCCTTTAACTGGGGTATTTAGTGCATATATATTTAATGTGATTATTAATATGGCCAGGTTGAAGTCTATCATCCCTATATTTGCTTCTTACCTTCTCATCTGCTATTTGCCTTTTTCTTTTTTTTGCCTTCTTTTAGGTTGTTTTATTATTTCATTTTATCTCCTTTGT